GCGCCCCGCCGCCTCCTCGGCCCTCTTTTCTTCCACATCACTGATCCTTTCTTTCTAGAGACCCTCCCCTCCGCTCCCCTCCCCCGCCGTGGTCCACTCGGAACAGGAAAAGCGGGGGAAGGAAAGGAGGAGCGGAGAGGCGGGGTGAGTGGAGGACACGGGCACGGCCTGGGGACCGAGCAGCCGGCGCGCGGTGCAGGTCTGCGCTCGGGCCCCGGCGCTCCGAGCCGGCCCGGGGACGCCCGAAAGCTGGAAGTGGAGCTCCGGAGGCCGCTCTCAGGTGCGCGGCGCTGACCGGCTGCGCAGAGCTCCGGGGCCTGCCGTGGGTCTGGGTCGGCCCCGAATCTGGCCGGCTGGAGCTGCGGCCGTGCACGGGAGGGGGGCCTAGGCCCAGCTTTCGGTCGAGAAATTCGGCCCTTCTCGCGCTGGCTTCCCCGTTCATGTGCTCGGGCCTAGTGGCCTGGCTGCAGAAGTGGAACCACTTCCACTTCAGGGTCAGAGCTGGCAGGGCCCAGGTAGCAGCCATCAGCCCCCACCCCTTCACGGAGGAGGAAAGTGAGGTCTGGATCGGCCAAGGCAGACCCCTAAGGCCGTGCTGCGACGGAGAGGCCAGGCTGAGCAGCAGGCAGCTTTTCCTTTACCAGTCCTCGACGCATCACGTGACGTTGCCACCCGGGTCCAAACCCAGGACAGAAAAACAGATCGGTTGGATCAAGTGAGATTTAGCAATCATTTTAAAATTGCCACTCTGTCCAGATATCTGTGTAGATTTTACGAGTGCACCTGTCGGGTAGGATTCATTCAGAAGTTACTGAACACTGCGCCCCTCATTGCTACCCCCTCTGTCTGGGGTGGACCCCCCTCCCCCGCCCCAAGCCTGGCTTCTTCTTGAGGTTTCTCCACGCAGGCACCCACATACCAGGGCGCTGTTTTTCTTATAGCATGTTACCTCAGAAATGACCTCAATTAAATATTTGTCTACTTGTTCGTGGTGTCCGTATCTGCAATAGAAAGTAAGCGTCATGAGAACCAGATCCTACTGACTTGCTTTGCATCTATTTTTTTTTTTTTTTTTTTTTGTTTTTCTCCGGTACCGGGAACCGAACTCACGACCTTGCGCTTGCCAGGCAGGGGCTTTGCCGCTGAGCTAAATCCCCAGCCCTGCTTTGCATCTATGACGCCCTGTCCCCTCTAAAAAACCTTAAAAAGGGACTCCTACAAAGCTACAACAGAATGAGGACATTTGGTTTTATGCGCTACCGAGGGGCGGCACTTTAGGGAAGGGTAGTGTGGAGAAAGAACAGTGGAGGAAAAGCTGCTGCTGGATGTCAGCACAGAGTTTAAGGGTTCTGGTTTCCTGGGCCTGGACAGTGTGATAAGCTGTGGCAGAAAACATGGTGGGGAGTGGAGAGAAGGTCCTTACTCATTCTTACAATTATTTGTGGTAGCCAGAGTTCTGCAAGGATCTAACAGGATCTCGCTCTCTCTCTCTCTCTCTCTCTGAATGGTAGATATGGAGATACAGATATATAACATATACGCATGTGTGTATGTGGAGAGAGAATATGAAATACTTTAATAAATTGGCTCGGGAGATGAATGGCAGGGATGGCAGGTTGGCAGTTTGCAGGGCAGCCCCACAGTGTGGAGCCGCAGAGAAGAGTGGTGTCAGGTGTTCTGGAGGGAAGGTTCATGCTTCCTGCAGGGATTTCAGTCTTTTTCCCTAAACCTTTCAATCGACTGGATGAGGCCTATTCACTTTATGAAGGGTAATTGCTGTTAAATGCTAATCACATCTAAAAGATACCATCATAGTATTTTTTTTTTTTTTTTTGGATTTTTTCAGGTACCGGGAATCAAACTCACAACCCTGCACTTGCCAGGCAAGCGCTGTGCCGCTGAGCTAAATCCCCAGCCCCCATCATAACATTTTTTACACTGGTGTTTTACCAAAAACCGGGGCACCACAGCCGAGCCAAGCTGACACGTAAAATTAACCATCACATTATCCCATCACATTTGTAATATCTGCTGAACTTTAATTTCCTAGCCAAATTTTAATCCGGGGATCTGTATATATTTCTTGGATCTGTGTAGCCTAAACCGTAACCATTTTCTCTCCATGGCAGTTTCTCCTGAAGATAAAGGTAGTTGCCCACTTCAGAGGAATGTCATTCGGGTAAGAAGATGATGATGGAGCAGGCTTTGATCACAAATTAATTTTTTAAATTCCATCTTGGTTTTCCCCTCTGCCACAGCACCTGCTCTCTGTCAGTTGTGGTATACAGGGAAATTGTAATTTTAATATTAGTCTAAGCAAAATACAATTAAGAAGGTAATTCACTAGCAAAGTAACTAATTTGTAGTATCCCAAAGAGATCCTTGGAATTCCAAGTGACTTGGAATGTGCTCTTTAAAAAATTAATAATGAACTGAGAAGTAGTATGTATATGTACTTTCACTTTGATCACTTATTTTGTCCTATACTAGTGCTTTCCATTTCCGATCATTTCCCTTATTTTGCAGGTGAGAAGATTAAGGCCCAGAAAGACTCGACTCTTGGATACTACATGGCCAGCAGGTACTACCAGAGTTGGAATCATCAGTCAGGTCTTCAGACTACAAGCCCTTGTGCCCTTTCTGTTGTCCCAAAGGCCAATAGCAGGAGGGAGTGAGTAATCTGTGGGCCCTTTACTCAGTATAGACTTCTTAAATATTGAAGCTTTTCTTTGGTCTCGCCTGTTGGCCTAAAAAACTGGCTGCCAGGTTTCTGAGTTTTTAAATAAAGGAAAACAATGTGCAGTTTTAGATCAGCAAATTCATCCCATTGGCAGAGGCAGAGGTGGAAACCTTACTGAACATCCCTGCCTGGTCATCCTTCCTCCCACATAATGTCCTAGAACGCTAAATTTATCCCTTAGGTAACTCTTGATTATCAAAATTTTATGAGAAACTTTCATAACATTGCACATTTTCAAACCAAAACTCAAAACATACTATAAACAAGACTTAAATTATTTGAATGTATGACAAGATTGACTTCTAGATACATAAACACATAAACCAGTAAAAAGGTAGCCACAAAAGATTGATTTCTAGAATATATGAATAAATACATAAAAGCCAGTAAAAAGAAAACCCAGCAGAAAAATGGGCAAAGAATAGAATGGGCAGTTTATGGTACATACAAATAGTCAAAAAATAAATGACAAGATACTGAGTATTATTAATAAGTAAATGCAAGCAGAAACAGTGTTATATAACACTATAAGTATGGCAGAAAGAGTGGTGAAGTTGTCAGGAGATAGTCACTCCTACACGTACAATTTCATGTAACTACTTTGAAAGCTAACTTTCTAATATTTATCAAAATTGTATATATATGTCATATATGTGCTCTTATACTCAGGTGTTTCACTCATATTCATATAAGTTTGCAAAGATACAAAATAAAGTATGGAAACATACATAAATACACATACCATATATATACTGTATTTGTAGAATTTATATAAATGGAAAGAAATATATTGTACATATGTGCATATATAAATATATACATATCCTTTGACTCAGCAGTTCAACTCATAATTCATATAAGTATTAAAAAAATATGCACATATACATCTGTAAATATAGAGAGCTGCACATATAAACATATACACATAAGTATGCAAAGATTATAAATGTTTATTCATATGTATGTATAGTTGTCCCATTAGCTGGAACAATTTTACTTTTACTGCTGCAATAGCTCATATAAGTATGTAGAAAAATATGTTGGGTGTGGCGCACATGCTTGTAATCCCAGCACTCTGAGAGGCTGAGGCAGGAGGTAATTTGGTGACTTAGCCAAACTCTGTCTCAAAATTAAAAGTAAAAAGGTTTGGGGATATAGCTCAGTGCAAAGGTCCTGGGTTCAATTGCCAGTACCTAAAAAAAAAAGATTCTTGATAATGGTATATTGTATCAAAAATGCAAGAAAGTAAAAAGGAAATATTTAACATATTTGTAATAGCTTTTTAAAAATTAAGAGTCAGGCTGGGGATAAAGCTCAGTGGCATAAGCGCCTGCCTGGAAAGCGCAAGGTCGTGAGTTCGATCCCCGGTACCTCAAAAAAAAAAAATTAAAACTCATTCATATAATATGAAATTGTGCAGTTGTGGAAAAATAAAGTGGATCTAGACAGGCTGACAGTGCAAATTCTCAAAGAAGTATTTTGTATCAAAGAAAGCACGTGATAGAGCAGAGCATGATCCTACTTGTGTTTCTAGATACGCGCACGGCGGAGGGATATTTACAATTATATATGCACCTACTTTTTCTTTGTTTTAAGAAATAAAAGAAGGAAAACGTATTAACAGACATCCATTTACAAAATAGCTTAAGAACAATATAAACAAAACAGAGTTACAGACAAAGTGGTAGGAAATTAACAATGGTTGTTGTATTACTTATTGATATCTTCAAAGTGTTTTTACACCTACATTTTTGGAAGGATAGTTAAATATTTCTAAATAGTGATTACCTTTGGGTAGTAAGGATGGGGTAGGGAAGGTTGAGGAGATTTTCACTTCATATTTTTTGCTTTCTGTACTATGAGAGTTTACTATGAATAAGAGTTATTAAAGTAACAACCACAGAAATTTTGGGGCCTAACCTAGGGATTCTAGTTCTGTAGACCTGGAGCTGGTCAG